AATCTTCATCATCTTGGTTTTGGCAAAAGATTCCTAGATACAACAGCCAAAGCACCAGCAGCAAAAGAAAAAAACAGATAAACAGTAAGAAATATTTGTGCTACACAGGATACCATATGGATCTTAAGTAAATCTTTTTTTTTTTTAAAGATATGTTTATTTTTATTGGAAAGTAAGGTTTACAGAGAGAGGAGGAGGAAAGATCTTCCATTTGCAGGTTCACTCCCCAAGTGGCCACAATGGCCATAAAAGAGCCAATCCAAAGCCAGGAGCCTGGAGTTTTTTCCAGGTCTCCCAAACAGGTGCAGGATTCTAAGATCTTGGGTCATCCTCCACTGTCTCCCTAGGTCACAAGCAGGGAGCTGCAAGCGAAGTGGAGCAGCTGGGATATGAACCAGTGCCCATATGGGATCCTGACACATGTAAGGCAAAGACTAGCCACGAGGCAACCACACTGGGCTCAAATCCTGTGTTTGAATGGGCTTCTTTGTCAACTGCTCCAGTAAGGAAGGGCTGAGGTGGGGCATGGCCATCACACCACTGCCAGCCACAGGCAGATGTCCTACAGAAACAGGTCCACATGCAGACCCCACTGGCATCGTAGAGGTGGGACATGTGGATGGCCTCTAGTCTCATTATGACGGAGTGGTCCTATGGCTTCCACTGACAACACACTGTTATGGTAGTGGCAGTGGGGAGAACTGGAAATGTCATCACGACTAGCAACGGTGGAAACATAAGCTCCACCTGCATGCCCCTGGTGTGGCAGGGGCCACAGTTTTTTTCTCTCAAGTTTTGGCTAGAGTATAGAGGTTATTTTCTAGATTTTTCTGTCTTGTTAGGCTGCTCCCCATCGGGTCCTTTGTCAGATGCTTTGGTTAAGACCGCAAGCTTTAGTGTGGGCTTTTTTTTTCTGGTACCAGCTGCTAGCTTCTTCAGCTCCAAATCTAGCATGGGTGAGGCAGAAACAATCTACAGGACTCTGCTGTTCTGTGTGTCCTTGGGTCCTTGGCCAGTCAGCCCTCTCCCTTTTGGAATCTGCCATTGGAGGGGCTGGCAAGACTGCTCCACTTGCAGATCGTCCAAGTGATTGGGTCCCTGTCACCTGTATGAGTGAACCAGATGGAACTGCAAGCTCCTGGCTCCAGCCTGGGCCATCCTTGGCTTTCTAGGTTTTTAGGGGAGGGAACCAGTGGATGAAAGAGCTCCTTCTCTTCCTCTTTGTAATTGACTCTCAAATAAGTGTCCTTTTTTTTTTATTTTGAAAGAACCTGCCTTTGTTTTAATATCACAGACTTTTATTTTAATATTATTTACATAGTTCAGAGAGATTCATGCCCATGTGAGTCTCTGATTAGGGTAGGGAGGGTTGAGATTTGGAGGAAGGTGGGTTGAACAAATGTTTCAATTCTTTTTACTCTTCTTGTCTACTGTGGAGAAGGGGATGACCGCTCCTTGCTGTCAAATTACGTCAGTATAGTATATTAGTATAGTTAACACAAACGGCATTAATCTGGCCCAGAATACCCATCAACTATTGGCTGCCTTTTTTCTCAGTGATCTAACACTTGCCTAGGTACAAGGCAGCCTAGGACATTGCCTACAGCTGGGGCATGTCATAGGCTTTTAAAGCTGACAGTGATCTTGGAGGTAATCTGGTTCAATTACTTTATTTTTAGTGGAAGAAAAGGGAGCCCCAGGTCGTGAGCTTGTTAGCTATCATAACGGGTGTCAACGCCAATGCTCAAAGCTCTTTTTAGTCCATCATGTTGCTTCAATCAGATGACCCTGTTTCATTTTTAGATGTGTACTCAAATTAATTGAAGAATTTTCTTCCAGATGCTCACATTTAGAGGAAATACTTGGCAGCAAATATTCTTTTTCCGGTAATTAAGCTTTATTTGTCAATTTCATTTGTCAGTTTCTTTGCTTGAGTCAAAAATGTTTCTTTTTTTTTTTCTAGGTCAGTGGGAAATAATTTTAATCAAAGAATTGTACATTTTCTTCCCACATATCTTGTTTTCTATTAGGAAGTTACATTGTCATCCATTTTACTTCAGGTAATATATTACAAAATATTTATAGGAATATTCAAAAATAACTAACACAAAAGGCAAGATGAGATATGGCACTTGAGAGTAGAACAAATAACTAAGATTCCCCTGTCACAGTAGACCTTCCATCTCTTTCATGAAAGCTTCATAAAGAACACCCTTAGTTTGTGTGGTCACAGGAACAGCAGAACCAGACATGGGGGCTGCTTTGGCAAGAGGCACAGCACACTCATCCTCTGACAATATTTGGGGAGCAGAAACCCCTTTATTCTCCTGATGTACTCTCAGTGCGTGGTGAAACAAATCGAGGAAATTCTGCCTTGTGATTAATGATTTGTGGCTTGGCACTGATGGTTGCTGTGGGTTTCTTCATGGTGGCTCCACTTGTATCATCTGCCTTGGGTCTTTGAGTCAAATTGGGTGGAGCACTCAGAACTCCAGGGCTTGGCAAGGCAGCTGGTGGGAAAAGCCAAGGTGGGGGTAGGTCTGAGTAGAGGCACCAAAAGTGAGCATGTCATGCCAGGATGATGCCTGGAGGCGGACCTGGGAGTAAACATTGGGGTAAAGGTCCTCAGGTTCCTCGTATTCTGGGTGGTCTCGGGAATGGAGGAGACCCTGAAGGTGGACTGGGAGGAAGGTTGGTAGGTGGTCCAGAAGGTCATAAAGGTACAGCAGGTGGTGGTCCAAGAGGAGGTGGTAAAGGTTTATTTTTCCATTTCTTTCATTAGAGTCTCTGTCAGTCACACTTTCTATCACTGGGAAAATTTGGTGCATTGAACCAAGAGTCATACAAGCAGACTGCTGACTGATGGTCAACACCTCAACAAAAATGTTTCTATGAGAAGGTACTGAGCATCTGATTTTATGTGAAACTCTTGTAAAACGGGCCTTGGTACTAATTCACTGGTAACATTTCATCTAAAAAACTGACAAAATGCAAAAATGTCCCCATTATCCTTGTTTAATGATCAATTATTAACTTGGTGTTGTTCTTTTAGGATATGCTCCTGTTTCCACATACTGTGCTTTTTAAAAAAAATTTTTCTGGAGTACAAATCCTTATTTTAGATTCATCATGTACAACTCCATTGCTAACAATTGTCAAAGGAACACCTTTACTTGATTTATCTGAATAGTTGTTGTCTAATCAAATTATCCAAGATTACCTCAATTGCTTCACAGAAATGCCCAAAGCACTCACTTGTTTCCCTTGCAAAACATTAGACAGTTAGCAACTAGCTGTATTATTAGTCTGTCAAAATTCCACACTGTGGGTGGTGGTCCTGTGGCACAGTGCATTAAACCACTTCCTGCAACATTGGCATTCCATACTGGAGTGTCAGTTCCATTCCCCAGGTTTGTTCGCCCGTTCTAGCTCCCTGCTAATGTATCAGGGAAGGAAGCAGAATATATTTGAGGACCACTACCCATATGGAAGACTTGGATGGAGTTCCAAGCCTTGAACTTTTTGTGGCCATTTGGGAAATGAACCAAGGAATGGAAGATCACATTCTTTTTTTCCCTGTCACTTTACCTTTCAAATAAACAAAATAAACCTGCAAAACGCTCCATGGTGGGCCCAGCACGATAGTGTAGTGGTTAAAGTCCTCGCCTTGCATGCCCGGGAACCCATATGGACGCTGGTTCTAGTCCCAGCGGCTCCACTTCCCATCCAGCTCCCTGCTTGTGGCCTGGGAAAGCTGTTGAGCATGGCCCAAAGCTTTGGGACCCTGCACCTGTGTGGGAGACCTGGAAGAAGCTCCTGGTTCCTGGCTTTGGATTGGCTCAGCTACAGCCGTTGCGGCTGCATGGGGAGTAAATCAGTGGACGGAAGATCTTCCTCTCTGTATATCTGACTTTGCAATAAAAATAACATAAACCTTCAAAACCCTCCATGGTACAATTAGTTTGTTTTCCTATTTGCAAGTCAGAATTATTCCTTTTTAAGACCTTCCTAACAGCTCTGGATAGCATCTTTTTTGATGTATTAAAGTGACTTTAAAACACTTTTTTTTCTCTTTATGAAAAGCTACACTGGAACTTTATAAAATAAGCAAAACTTATGAATGCATTAGGTACTGTATCACCTACAATGCTGACATCCTATATGTGTGCTGGCTTGTGACCTGACTACTCCACTTCTGATCCAGTTCCCTGTTTACATGCCTGGAAAAGCAGAAGATGGTGGCCCAAGTGTACAGGCCTCTGCTCTCAGTGTGGGAGATCTAGATAAAGCTCCTAGCTCCTGGCCCAGCCTGGCCCAGCCTTTGAAGAGTAAATTGAACAAACCAGAGACATTCTCTCCATCTCTCTTTAACATCTTTTCAAATTAAAAAAAAAATTTTTTTAAGATTTATTTTTTTTTATTGGAAAGGCACATTTACAGAGAGAAGGAGAGACAAAGACAAAGATCTTGCATCTGCTGATTCACTCTCCAACTGGCCACAATGGCCAATTGAGTCGATCCAAAGCTAGGAGCCAGGAGCCTCTTCAGGGTCTTCCAAGCGAGTGTAAGGTCCCAAGGACTCATACTGTCCTCCATTGCTTTCCCAGGCTACAAGCAAGGAGCTGGGACATGAACCGGTGCCAATATGGCATCCTGGTGCACATAAGGCAAGGTCTTTAACCAGGAGGCTATTGCACTGGGCCCCACCCACCAAAAAATTATTTTTAAACGTTCCTGAAAATGTTAAAATTCCACCAAAAGAGACAATAATATGTGACCCTCCAGATAATTTCCTATGACATATTTAAATATATCACTTGTATATTTACATATTTAGATTACATATGTTTTAGTTATAAAAACCCTAAGTTATTTTTATAAAGTTTCACTTACTTGAAAAATAAACTGATAGAGCAAAAGGAAGAGACATAAAAAAAAATATTTTCCATTCACTGGTTTACTCACCAAGTGGTGACAATAGTTGACTATGGGCTAGGTTTCCTGTGGTGGGTCTCAGGGTCCCCAATATTTGGTCCATCTTCTGCTGCCTTCCCAGATGAGCAGGAAGCTGGATTGGAAGTCAAAGAGCCAAGACTTGAACCAACTCTGTGATATGGATGCTGGTGTAGCAAGAGGCAGCTTAACCCCTCGTACCAATTTCTCCACTCCAAATTTTCAGTTTTGAGTTTCTACGGTATTTAGCAAAAGCCCTGGGACTCTTTGGATTTGGGGGAAGGAGGCAGTATGTCATTAAACATAAATTATTGGGCCTGGCGCAGTAGTATAGTGGTTAAAGTCCTCACCTTGCATGCGCCAGGGTCCCATATGGTCGCTGGTTCTAATCCCGGTGACCCTGCTTCCCATCTAGCTCCCTGCTTGTGGCCTGGGAAAACAGTCGAGGACGGACCAAAGCTTTGGGATCCTGCACCCTCATGGGAGACCTGGAAAAGAGCTCCTGGTTCCTGGCTTTGGATTGGCTCAGCTACAGCCGTTGCGACTGCATGGGGAGTAAATCAGCGGACGGAAGATCTTCCTCTCTTTAAAAAAACACAGAAATTATTTGGGATTTTAAATTTTTATTTTTTATGACATTCAGATTTGAGTTAAATTTAAAAATTTTAAAAAGATTAGAGTTTATACAAGTGTAAGCTTTAAGATTTAATTTATTTTGTACTACTTCACTTTAGTAGACACTGGCTTTCAACCAAGTAAACGTTTTGATTAGCTAGTTGAGAATAAAAATGAAAGAAAAGAGGAGGCAGAATAAGACTGATTGCTAAAGTAGTCATTTCCTGGGATTATATCTGACTATTTATCAGCACTAATATATTTCTTAGTACTAATATTTTATTCTGGTTGCAATAGTTTGGAAGCCATATGCTTATTACTCCAAGAATTTTGTTTCTCTTTTTAAAGGTAGTATTTATTATTTTCCCGATTAATGTTAATTAATGTTAATTGTGGAAATGTGAAAAAATTTTTTAAAAAATATACATATTTTAAAGATGCATTTTACTACAAAGTCAGATATACAGAGAGGAGGAGAGACAGAGAAGAAGATCTTCTGTCTGTTGATTCACCCCTCAAGTGAGCCGCAATGGCCAGTGCTATGCCGATCCAAAGCCAGGAACCAGGAACTTCCTCCGGGTCTCCCACAAGGGTGCAGGGTCCCAAAGCTTTGGGCTGTCCTCAACTGCCCTCCCAGGCCACAAGCAGGGAGCTGGATGGAAAGTGGAGCTGCCGGGATTAGAACTGGCGCTCATATGGGATCCCAGTGCGTTCAAGGCGAGGACTTTAACCACTACACTAGGCCACGCTGCCAGGCCCCAAAATTTAAAAATATAAAGAAAACTTAAATGACCCATAATCCTGCTAATCAGGAATATCAATGGTGGTACTACGTTAATACAACTGCTTTCCAGTCTTTTTTCTATATATACACGTGAAATTTGATTCTTTAAAATCTTATTTAGAGCCTGGCACAGCAACCTAGTGACTAAAATCCTTGCCTTGCACACGCCGAGATCCCATATGGGCACCAGTTCTAATCCCAGAGGCCCCACTTCCCATCCAGCTCCCTGCTTGTGGCCTGGGAAAGCAGCTGAGGACAGCCCAAGGCCTTGAGATCCTGTCTCTGAGGCTCCTGGCTTTGGATTACCTCAGCTATGGCTGCTTGAGGAGTGAATCAGTGGATGGAAGATCTTCCTTTCTGTCTCCTCTTTTCTGTATATCTGACTTTCCAATAAAAATAAAATAAATATTTAAAAATAAATAAGTAAAATAAAGTATTATTTAGCTTTACTAAGGCAAAGAAACAGAAGATAGAAAGATATTTCCCATTCACTGGTTCACTCCCCAAATGCCTATGACAGGTAGAACTGGTCCAAGCCAAAGATGGAACCAAGAACTCTGGCTCTCTCATGTGGATGGCAGGGCACCAACTACTTAAGACATCACTTCCAAGATGAGCATGAGCAAAAGGTTGGAACCAGGAGTGGAATCAAGACTGGAACCCACACACTTTGATACAGAATGCTGGTGTCCCAAATGGTATTTTAATTGTTGCACCAAATGCCTGTTCTACATGCAATTTTATGCAGTTGAGATGATATTCCATATGACCTAGTGAATTTGATACACATTTTTAAAATGTCTATAGGTTAAAATGACCATATGTTAAAGTAAACATAAATTGACATGATTTGTTTTAAAATTCACTATCAGCGATTTACATTAGACTTTGTACTTTTCATCACTACATGTATTACTGTAGTGAGCATGTTCTGCATATAAATCTTTGTTGAGCGTGGGTGTTTCAGGTAGGGGTTGAGAAACTAGTTGGGACACCCAGAATGTCTAGGTTTGAATCTCACTGTGCTTCTATTCCAGCTTTTTGCCAGTGTACACCGTGGGACACAGGAGGTGATGGCTGAAGTACTTGGATTCCTTCCATCCATGTAGGAGACCTGGATAGATTTCCTGGCTCCCAACTTCGCCTCTGCCCAGACCTGGCTATTGTTTGTATCTGGGGTGTGGACCAATAAGTAAGGACAATTTATGCCTCTGAAAAAGTTAAGTAAAACAACACAAACAAAAAGATACATTAGTACCTTCATGATTGCTACTGAGGAAAATACTCTCTTGGAAAACATAGACTGTGAAGAATTCCTAACAGTGAAATCTTCCTCAGTCATATCTTATTGAAGCCTCATGGACTTATGTCATGATTACACAGTAGTTCCAAGACCAACATAAACACTGTGTCCATATTATGTGGGGGTAACAATAATTTAATTTAAGCATCCTACAGTGAGCCTGGCTATTTAGACAAAATGGAATTATTTTGGGTCCTACATGTGTATGTACATGAACATCCAGATCACAAAATATTTGGTTTAAACACTTTCACTATAGCTTTAAATTCAAATTATTACTGGGCCTGACACAATAGCCTAGTAACTAAAGTGTTTGCCTTGCACATGCTGGGATTCCATAAGGGTGCCAGTTCATATCTCAGCAGCTCCACTTCCCACCCAGCTCCCTGCTTACTGCCTGGGAAAGAGTCAAGGATGGCCCAAGGCCTGGGAACCCTGTACCCGGGTGGAAGACCTGGAAGAAGCTCCTGGCTCCTGGCTCCTGGCTTTGGATCGGCTCAGCTCTGGCCATTGTGGCCACTTGGGGAGTGAACTAGCGGACAGAATATTTTTCTGTTTCTTTCTCCTCTCTGTAAAATCTGCTTTTCCAGTAAAAATAAATAATAAACCTTTTTTAAAAAAGTACAAATTATTTCTGCAATCAGTGAAACTTCAAAGTGCAACATCATAAAATGAAAAAGCTGCCAATATGTTGTCTTTGCACAGTCTTCAAATATGGACGTGCTAACAACTGATGCCTTGCTCGTTCTGTCAAACTTCAAGTACGTTTTCATTAAAAATAAAAACCTATGAACTCCATTGCACAGCTAATAAGAACAATCTCTATTATTACACAGAGTATATGACGCATAGAAAATGGAACTTTCATGTGCACCCTACAGCAAAATTACCTGATGTGTTTAGTTCCCTATACTTTGAAGATAATTGTTAGGTGTGAGATCACATACATCAGGTGTCTTCTCCATTCTTCTTTCTTTTCTTTCTTTCTCTCTCTCTCTCTCTCTCTCTCTCTCTCTCTCTCTTTCTCTCTTTCTTTAAGATTTGATAGACACACAGAGACACACATAGAGAGATCTCCATCTACTAGCAAATGGCGGCAATAGCTGGGGACAGACCAGGCTCATGCCAGGAGCCAGGAACTACATTCTGGTTTCCCACATGAATGGCAGGGCCTCAAGATTTTCGGTGACCCTCCTCTACCTTCCAAGATAGAGCAGCCAGGACTGGAATTGACAAGCTGGTAAGGGATGCCATCATCATAAGTGGTGGTATAACCTACTGTGGCATACAACACCAACCTCCCTGCCTGACTTTTAATTTGAAAAGATGGATGACTTGAATTCAATCCAAAACTGGCAAGTTACTAGCCATGTAACCTTGGTCAAACTACCTTAAATTCTCCATCCACTAGCAAATGGCCACAACAGCTGGGGACAGACCCTCAATGCCCTAAATTTTCTAATAAAGGGACTTCTCAGAGTTGAAAGGGGGTCAGTAAAACAATGAGCTGCATGTACCCAGCTTACAGTTCGTGTTCAACTCACCTTTTCTTACTATGTAGAATAAAAATAAACGTCCTATCTCTAAATTCCCACATGGGTTCCTCAAATAGATCTCCATGATTCCTTCTTCTTATTATTTCTTCAGTTCTATTCAGCATATCTACTCCTCTCTACATCCATGACAGAAGGCACGACGGCCAAAGAGTATGCATGTGTATGTTGTTTGCCCACAACTCACAATATAAAAGGAATATACAGCTAAGCCCACTTTCTCCTTGTAACCAACTACAGCGGAATTACTTTTGAAGGATGAAATTTGAGTAGGAATAGCTAATTATGAAGTAAGTGTCACAACTACACATTTCCTTAGAAAAAATTCACACAATCTGAAACATAGTTTCTATATTCGCTCTAGTTCAATGCCAAACACTTGAAGCAGGCAAGTGTTGTTTTTTTTTTTTTTTTTTTTTTTGCTTTGTTTCGTTTTGTTTTGTTTTCTCTCTCCCTCCTTAAACTCTCTAGGAAAAGTGTGAAGGCAATACTCTTCAGCTCAGGAGGAAAAAATAACTATATATGCTAAATTGTCAAATTTTATTTCTGCCTGTGAATCAGACCAATGTATATATGGAGTTGTAACATGAAGAAACCCAGGTGATAACAGCTTCATGTTATTTTATTTTACATTTCTGAGATGTATACTTGTTGGAGCATTTTCTCCTCAGCATCTTTCAGATTTGAAACACCAATTCTCCACTTTCTTTTTACATGTCTCAATTTCCTAACAATGGCCATCTCACTTTAGTCTGCAATTATTAGGTTCTGTAATTCACAGCCTTCCTGTAGACTGTGACAGAAATTAGTGACACCTGGATGGGCTTTTGGTCATTTTTATTTCCTGACAATGAATATGC